TACCGACAGTCCAGTCTGTGAAAACCGGGTTGCCGCTGCAAACGCGGACGCTTTTGCCTGTGTCTCGAAAAAAAAGTAATAATAAAAAAATAACTAAAAAATATATGACGATCATTTCATGTACTTATATTTGAATAAAGAATATATTACAAATTAATTTACATGTTCCATTTTTTAAATTAGTTAGGTTTGCATACGTATTAAGGGATATTCAACAAGTGTCAATTCTCAAAAGTATGTTTTTTGTTACATAATACAGTGTTATTATTTCTATAATTTCTTTTTAAGTTTTTTTTTGTTTATATATTGTAGGAAAACACACGATTCAGGTCAGTGTACCTGTTGCCGGTTACTATTGCGTAGGAGGTATCTCTAGTAGCGTAGTAGGCGCGGGTGAAACGAATCAATTTTCAAGAATCAGGTGTCAAAGGTAAAGCTGTATAATAATTATCCGTTGTTGAATAAATATCTTACTCGAATTCAATGTTATTTTTAATGTGCAAAGGAAAGAAAATGTTACGTAATCATAAAACATCTAGACGGAGTACAAAGAAATCATATTTATGATTTTTAAAATAGATATTTAGTAGCACAGTATTGCTGGGCTAAGTTTTGTGCATAATATCTACGAGTATATAGAGTAATAAGTAGGTACTATATATTTGAATATTACCTATAAATCTAACAATAAGCACTAGTAATTCATATCGTTTGTATATAGGATAACCTCATAAAATAGTAATTATAACATATTTTTGCAACTATTATATCAGATTCATTATCGACTATCAATGCCTATGTGAACAACACACTTGATATTTTCACATTTCAGTGAGTATATTTTGAATCCAATCTTCAGTGAATTTAGTATTCAGATATATGTATATATTACATTTTTATGTTTAGCTATATTTGTAATATATGTACTCTATTTCTTTATCTGTTTTCATTCAATCTATAATTTAAGAGCTGTGCTGTTAAGGTAGAGCTCTCGCCACCTTCCACGATCTTCTATCAGTCCTTTTAGCTGTTGATACGACACGACTCCAAATTTTTCTTGATATAGTTGTGTCTTGGTCTTCCCCTTTCCATCTATTTTTCCTTCAATAATGTTATTAATTAGTTCGTTGTGTCGTATCAAGTGCCCCAACATTTTTCCCCGCCTATTTTCAATAATGTCTATGATCTGTTTTCATACGAATGTCAAAATAACATCTGCATTACTTACATTTATTTATTTATTTAAAGCACAAATACAAAAATAAAGTTGCATATGGCGGGCTTATCACTTTAAGACATTTTCTCCCAGTCAACCATAGAGCAAACAGAGATTAGTGGGCGGTGCATGTAAAGAAATATCATGAAATAATAATAATATAAAGTACCTAGTAGGTATAAACATAATAATATTAATAAATTAAAAATATATATCCAAATACATACATAGTTAAATATAAATACATAATATATATAAAAAAACACAGTATAGGTACAATATTTGTTATTATTATTAAAAAAAAAACAAGGATTAATTTCTAATCTGCATACTGGTATTGCTGGTTTTTTTTTGTTACTGTAGAATAGAATAATCAAATTGAGTTTAATTTAACCACTTTTGAGTATATACATCAGTTTTCATTTTTATATAAATGCATATAATACTATAATACCAATACCACGTTATACCTACTATATCCAATAAAAGAATCATCGAACAACTCTGTAAAATGTTATTCCTAATCATCCAATCTCATCCATCTGGACAACGTCTGGTAGTGACAGCGTGTTTTATTCCTAGTTTTCTTGATAAAATCAAATATCAAATAATACAGATAAATGGACCAGAGACTATGTTATATGTGCAATCTACAGATCTATAAGTAATATTACAGTCATCTAAAAATAAATTATATATTTATATTTATAATCCATTAATGTTTAAAATCATATTTTTATTACATCATCAAACTGAGTACAAAACCCTTTGCCAGTTTTGTTTTTTATTTTATTAAATATTTTTAATGATTAGTGATTACAGTGGTGTACAATCAAACATACGGCCCATCTGATGGTAAACGGTTACCCTACAGGCGTCCCTGTTTTCTTTGAGTAAAGATCATTAAATATCACTTGCTTTTCCTTTTTGCTATCTCAACTTCAGCTCCATTTGTATTGAGTGGGTAACCAGGTGTGCTCGCGAAATTGTTCGCACGCATTTTGTGTTATTTCGTGAAAATGTATACTTTTATACGATAAAAAATCTTCTATATGATAGCACAGTCAAATAATAATATGAAGTCGCTAGTATCTGCGGGAAGCAACCCAAAATTATATGTATATTTTATAGAATTAGGTGTTATTTTGCGGAAGTCCATTATCACTACTTAATGGATTTATATTGTGCCGCCCCTGAACAGAGCATCATCAGGCATTGAACAGAGTTCAAGTTTGATCACCATTATAAAAGGTAGTAACAGTAGTCAAGTTTCCACACTGAATGTTTGTGGTCTCATTCTCAAATGCTAATTGTAGCGGAATTAAACAAAATGATATAAATAGTAATTATTATATTATATTAATTATTTATTTATTAACCAAAATTGTTACACATAAAATATTGTTACACATATTATCTACATTAACATTGATTCCTACACTAGGTTGGACCTGTCCTACAGGAACCAGAAAACTAATTTTCATATACAAAATATATAGTTTTAAATCTACGGACAATTTGCTAAACAAAATACCTAATGCTAGCTATGTAAAAAAAGTAATAGTGGGGTGGCATGTGTGTACGAGTGTACGCATGATGTAATCCATTAAGTAGCAAATTTTATCTCTCAAATGTAGTGAATATGTAGAAATTAAAGAGTTCGAAGGTAGAAACTGCCGAAGACCAGCCGCACGTCATGGCTCAAAGTGCATAGGTTCCGGATTACCACCAAACCCCTGTTCACAACAGCCTTAGACAGTGTTAAGATTGCCCTGAATACTGCCAACCTCTGGTAGGAGACGGTACCTATAGAAGAAAAAGACAGAAATTACAGGGTGTTAGGTATGATGATAGGGGCTGCATTTATATGCAGGTTTGTTTTATATAAAAGTATATTAAAATAAAAGTAAATTGCAGACATATAAAGTTATTCAGAACGGTATAAAAGAATTAAAAATCAGGAGTACAACAGTTTATCAGGATGTCTGCTGATGAAGCCATTTTATAGTTTTTTTTTAGTTTTCCCGCGCAAATGTAATGCGCCACAGATACATAATATTGCACGGCGCACAGCCGTAGCAGGTTGATGAGCGCGTACAGCTATGCTGTATGCGCGATGTTAATACTATGAGTAGTAATACAGGGTTAGGCAAGATAAGGCACCTTTGCATTTCAGACCACGGCGGATTTTTTAAGACATGATGTCCATGTATTCGATATTCGTAACACAGTTCTATACTTCTGTGAATGTCATCGTTTCTTCAGTGAATTGTACACATGTTTCTGATAAATAAATATATAAAATAAATATTATACCAGCGATGGTTACTACTTACTCTCAGATTGTTGATCAGCTTGTTTTCCATTTTAATTACATGAACAAAATTGTCCCTAAAGATTATGTAGGTGGTTTTTAGAGGTCCATTAAAAGGTTTTTAGAGCCAGTAATGAGAAAGATTTTAGTGTTGCGGGCTTCCATCGATATCGGTTTTTTAATCGATGGAAATGGAAAGGTACGTGAAGGCATCGGTGATCTAGCGGTTTAGCGTACCGCTTTACTTTCTATTGTCGAGGATTCGATTCCTCACACGGTACAAACATTTGTATTCATATGTATGATTATTTGTATCGGTCTGGGTGTTTTCTATATATATTATGTATGTATTTACAAAAATATATATGAATACGTAGATATATATTTGTGTAAGTATAACACAAGTTCTGCTTACCTTAGGACTAGATGGCGTTGTGTGAATTGTCCAGGGGATATTATTATTAGTATATATATCCGTTAACGGATACTAGTGTAACTAATAATATAACTGAATGGTTTAATGACAAGGGAGACGGTGTTGGAATTCGTATAGTTTGCCCTACAAAGTACTTTTCGTATATTTTTAGTATGCTGGTCACAAAACGACTGTAACAGCTTGTAACAGCGTAGAAATATAGGGAAATCATATAATATTTCCAGCGTACATATACCTTTTATACCACGCGTACAATTTCGATTTTCCGAGAAAGTGAATTTCCCTATAATTTCTTGTTTCATATGAATTGTTAAATATTGTTATGTTTTTGCACATATTATCATTAATTATTTATTAACATAATAATACATGATTTTACATTAAAAGTTATCAATGTAACAGTCAATAATTATTCCGTGAAAGTTCTAAAATATCCTTAAAATTTTTCGTGACTATAATTTCTTTTGTTCCATATGTATTTTTAAATATATTTGTGTTTCTATATAATATCATACAGTACATATTATCGTAATAAAACCGTGATTTTATATTAACAGTTACCAATACAACAGCATATAAATTTTCCAGAAGTGTAAAATTTCCCTAAAAGTTTTCGAGATTTATTACTTTTATTTCATGTGTATTGTTAATTATTTTTTGTTTTTTATATAATATCACTTAATATTTCCACATATTATCATCAATAATAATTAATGAATGATAGTATATTGGAATATTGACATAGTTATGTAATAAGCTTATTTAATCAATCAGTTACACTTTTAATTAATTATTATCATAATAAACCGTGATTTTACACTAAAAGTTACCAATATAACAGTAAATATTTTTTCCGAGAAAGTGTAAAATTTACGTTTAATTTGTCGAGACTACAATTTCATTTCGGAAGTGGACATTTATATATAAAGTGCACCAGTTTTGTGAAGTGAAATTATGTAAAGGTGTTTAGATGTCGGAGGGACCGTCTAGACTTCCCTCGTTGATGCCATCAAAATGCAAAAGCCACGAGATGTGGGCCGCCATGACCAGATCTATTGAGATACTTGTTGCATTCTTCGAATATTATGCACAGAGGTAAGTTATCTAATGTAAATAATACTCTTTATATACTCTTCTATATAATTATGATTGACTACTGTTGCTTGTCCACCAATTTATTATATACTAGCTGTGTTCGTGGTTTCTCTTGGGTAAAATTTATAGCCTATATATATGTTATTTTCTGTATAAGCTATATTACTGCAAAGCTAGCTAGCTAGCTAGCTAGTAGTAGTTTTGTGTGAAAGAGTAATAAACATTCCTCTATCCTCTATCCTGGATGGGTTATAATATTAGTAGTGATTTCGTACCCGCTTTTGAAGTAAAAAAGAAATCATATTTTTTTAGTTTCTGTTCATATTGCATTAATTACTGTTTATAAATAAAACTTTGCATTTAAAAACAAAAGATTAAATTTTGTTTTTTTTCTAAATGATATTAAAACCGAATGTTAAAAAGTTTTTTTTAACACAACTGCAGTACTGTTGTATTTATTCAGTTATATTAATATAACTGAATAAATTCAATAAATGAATTGTTAGTTTTTGTTTCACCATTAGATTACATAATAGGTACAATTTAATTGTGAAACAAAAGCATAACATAAAGCCAAGCAGTACAAAAATACTGTCAAATACTTAGCAACGTTTGTCCATTTGCAAAAGCAGGGGAAACATAAATATTTAATTACAATTTGCATATTTTCCATGAATTATTTTTGATATTATCATAATATTCACGTATTTTTTCCTTAATCCATCATTCTGTTCGAAGCCTTTATTTGAATAATAACGTCATAAACAACGTAATTGATATTATGTTTGAAACACTATTGCCCTTGGTTTTTTTTTCCTATATAATTGCGTACAGGCCTATCTATGTAGTATATCCACAAGCTTAGTGGTTTCACTAAACTACTCTGAAATAAACTACTAGTTACTATTTACATCGAAGGTAGTTACTATTACTAGTTATTACTATTACTATTATTACTATTACTATTACTACTATTACTAGTTACGGTTACTAGGTGAAAGGTGGATTACGCATGCTCTTGATAGAAAACATTTCAAAATTTTTTCCTCTATTTTATATTCATTTTTTAAAAAGAGCAGATACGCTTGAGAAAATGGGCGTTCTTCATCTCGGAGGAGTAAAATCTAAAATTTTACAGAGCAAGATGCCAGACGGTTGAAATAGGTGAGACTGAGGTACCTACGCAGACGACTTTTTCTTTATTTACGAATTTATTACCATCAGTACAAGTATTTGTTTAGAAGCGTATTATTGGTACGGAATTGCATAGTAACCAAGCACTATTATATAGATGCATACAATATACGCTAGATAAGGCTAGACAATAAAAAATACAGTAAATAGAAAGAAATAAATATAAACGACGTAATATTGTAAATAATGTTGGACATAGTTTGTTAACAGAAATTTATATAAAAATAAATAGGTGCAATATTAAGATAATTTTACAGTACTTTAATTTAACTGTAGGTAGAACCTCTACTGTCTCCGGAACTGAAGCAGTGTTAAATGGAAAATATCTAGAGCCTTAGCCTGGAGGCAAGTATTTCTTTGTATTGGTGGCACATTTGGACTATTGGGTTGTAATATGAAATGTGTGACAAGCAATACAAACAATGTCACCGTTATAGAAACAGACTGACCAATCCGGGGCACTCGCGCCTGTCCCCGCCCGCTCACTATTTCATAAATATATCAACTGTACCGTTAGGATACGTAGTATGTTCCTTGCAGTTACCATTCGGTTTTGTGTATTTTACAAAATAAGACAACATTTCATAAGAGGGCCTTTAACTCACACCATATAACCCTGAGATCCTCGACCACATATCTGACGCCCGTAAGTGCTATTTTACAGATTACCTCTAGTAAAAAATTTGTTAATTATTAAATAGAAAAATATTTAATATATCTTATAACCGCATATAATAGCTTTTATTACTTCTCGTTATATCCGGATACCTATATTTACCTTTATTATATCGGTTATATTCAAATAAGGCCCACGAATATCGGTTATGCCCTACTATAAAAAGTGTACTGCGTAATAAAAACAGAAAATAAGAAATGTATGCTAATGAAACTCTCGCAGTTTCAAATTAACATAAATTCTCTAGTTTTCTTTGCTGACCGTCTGTAACTACTGAAGTGAGATGCTTTTTAATTATTCTTTAGAAATTAACATAAGATTACTATTTCTAGTTTTTGAAAGAAAGATGATGAAAATGAAAATGGTCTATATTATGTTGGTGATATATCGAAGCGTAGTGTGATTTTACAATTAAAATTTATTTATTCTTTTACTGTTCATATACATATGTACCTCTATGCAGATCTCAGAGCTAACCAAGAGAAGAATATATATTTAAGTTAGGGGAGGACAACCCTTATCACTTAGGAGTATGAAAAATAGATAGTAGCCGATTCTCAGACCTTACCAGATTCAGTATATGCATATAAAATTTCATAAATCTCGCTCAAGCCGTTTCAGATTAGTATGGTAACTAACATTGTGACGCGAGAATTTTATATATAAGATGTATAGCGTTGACCATTCTTATAGTTACTCTTGTATATATGTACTTCGGTGGGCACGTCATATTACGAGCTAGGAAAATCATGACTTCGGATAAAAGGGCCATTAGCAACGCACAGCCGGCGTCATAGTGAACCCCGGCAACGAGGAGATTGGACCATCAGTTCGGCTGATAATGGGATAGCTTTACGTGAGAAAACGTTTTATATGAACTTGTTCGCGGAGTGATCGAATAAATTACGGTGTACTTTATCTTGGTAAACATTTACCTTTATCTTGATAAATACATTTAATCTAAGATTTTCTCGGCAAAAAGCTACTGCAATTATTTTCTTTTTCTTGTGTAACTTTATGTGTCATGGTCGCCCAGAGATCGAAATTCCACATTTATTTTAATACCAAAACTAATTTAACATTCAGTAAGACTATAGACAAATAATATTGATGACATCTCAATTTGACCACAGATTTTAACAATAAACAGTAGTTTTTTTTTTCTCGATTAATTGTAAAATTATGTATAATAAAAATATTATCATTCTTCTTTCCTTCTCTATATAAACAATAAGTGTGCGAAAGTTCACCCTCCTCCGTCCGCGGGATCGAGGGACGAAGTTGCACACGGCTCTAATAGATAGTAAAGTTTTTTTTCTCCAGGCCAACTGCAGGTGTCTGGTGGTATTTTAGTTTCTGCCGGGTAGTGTAATGATATAATTCAGCAGCTGGTATAAATCCGAAGAATTCCTCAGAACACTCTCCGTGATATAATAATAATGATATTATTGAAAAGATAATTGAATCTTTTCAATTTTAGAAAAAAATTAACCACAGTTACTGTTATTGATAGCTTGTCTACCATTATTTTTATAAACTTTTTATTTTTTATATGTCACTTTTGACTAACTATATTGTTTTGTTAACTTCTTCGATGTGAGCCCTTTTGGGAAGAATACACATTTTTACTAGTATTGGTTTTTCTTAAAATAGTAGTTGTGTTCCCGCTCCAGTAACAGTTACATTGGTGGAGTTATCAAGGAACATACTATAATATAAGAAAATAAAATAGAAATAATTTGAAAAATACAAAATTAAGAACATCACTTTATAAGTCATTAAAAAAATACGTATCTAATGAGATAAGTAGGAGTTAGCGAGTTAGTTAGTTAGTTAGTTATCTGTCCAATAGACAATTGCAGCTAAGTAATGCTATCTCGTATAGCGCTCAGTCCCCGAGATAAGTCATTATCAGAACTTTCACGACTTACAACCACTTGTAACTCGGTATCCGAGATCGAGTCAGCCATCCTGAAATGAAAATATTATTTAATGAATGAATGTAATGTATGTATTACTTATTTGTACTGAATGAATTTATTTTTATTATTTAATATTTATTTAGTAAAATTTTTGCACTATTTACACATAATAAATTCATTAAAAACAATTAAAATAAAAACTCTTTTTTCCCTTAGAATATTACCATTTTTTATATCATTGGAATGGCAAAAAACATGGTCGTGGATTCGATTTCTCGCATGGTACAAATATTTGTATTTAGGAGTGTTGCTGGTATCGGTCTAGGTGTCTTCTATGTATATTATATATGAATTAGAAAAAATATATCAGTTGTCAAGAACCCACAACAAGAGCTCTGCTTAGCTTGAAACTAGATGACGCAGTGTGAATTGTCCAGGGATTTTATATTTACATATAGAATATATGAGGTAGGTATTACACAAACACTAAGAACAATTTCATATTAAACTAGTTTTAATTGGATTGCACAACAAAGAGAGTCTATGTACATTAATTAGATAATCATATTCTGTGTGCGTAGTTAGTTGGAACTCGTTACTTAGACCCTTAGGACACATATCTAAATTAACCTGAAAACTTCATGCAATCGAAACTAATGGTATATTAATGAAAACTGTTGCTGTTTGTTGTAGTACGTATTTAACACAAGGCGTACCTACTCAGTATAAAGTAGTCGTACATATCGCACACTTATTAAAATACTGGCTTAACTCAAAATTTACAAATTTTGGAAAGTCCACTTTATAACTATGATATTAAAGCCTAATTTCAAAAATTACAAATTTCTGAATTACACCATTATTGTACTAGATATGCGATATATTCTATCTATTTTTTCTACTAACAGCTTTGCATGTATATTCCGGTTTAATTAGTCAGAGATGTCAGGGAAATTAACGGATACGGAGCTATATATACTTGACGGCCTCGGTGGTCTAGCGGTTTAGCACGCTGCTTTACTTCCGCTGGTCGCGGGTTCGATTCCTCGCCTAGTACAAACATTTGCATACATGAGTATGATTGTTTGTATAAATCTGGATGTTTCTATTTATATTATATGAGAATTTACAAAAATAAATATTTAAGCATTTATATCAGTTGTCTACTACCCATAACACAAGCTCTGCTTGCCGTGAGACTAGAGGAG